GATTATCTTTCGATTCCGTTTGAATTGTGCCACGAATTAAACATAAGATGTTTGTCAATTTAAAAAGATAATTTTGCAAGTCAAAAAAATTAAAATGTGTCGTAAAACTGTGAAGTAACACTTTTTTTTGTGTGAAACCGCTCAATGAACTACATCTCCCATCTCACACCACACACCAAGACGGCCGTCACGTTGGCACATTTCACTTCTTTCTTTCAGAATGAGGCGGAAAGTATTAAAAGAGGTGAAAATCACTCCAAGTCTGGGCATGTTGAGAGCTGTACATACACACAAGGGGAGTTAGTCGGTTCCGTGAGAGCCAGCATGCGGGACCGGGATTCTGGGATTCGTAGTCATTCTAGTTGCGTATTTTTCATAGTCTTATATTTCAACAGTTTTACGACAAACTGTGAATTTTTTGACATGGAAATAATTTTTTAAGATTGACAAACATCATATGTGTAATTCGTGGCACAATTCAAACGGGATCGAAAGATAATCTTTCTCTCTCCATTGACTTTAATACATAATTTTTCCGAAATAAGTTCCCATGGGTCAGAAGTAGAAGGGCGGGACTTCACCTCTCTATTGGCAGAGATATTCAAATAGCATTAAATCTTGTTGTGATATCGTAGCAAAAACAGCATATGTGATAGCAGATAATGGCTAGGCAAAAAACAGACAGCAGTTTAGATTGGAGAGTAAAAGCCTATAGAGCAAAGTCCAGCAGCAAACTCCCGGCCTCGATTCACTCCCTCAAAATGACTCCATTACCGTGACACAAGGTAATTATTCTAGCAACAGAGCTCAATACTTTCTTGGACAGCGCACGTTGGGGTGACATATTTAGTGCTGTTCTTGGATCCCATGGAGCTGAAATGACTTCATTAAGTGAAGCTGACATTTTGAGTATAAAAGTAGAAGCCTGAGGAAGATGGAGCAGGGACGCCAGGACGGTTTCCTACCCAGTTGGACATATCCGTGAATGAACAGATCAGCAGAAACAACCGCGAACCTGATGGACCGTGGACATGCAGTAAACTGTCTCTTCTACTTGAAAGGGAGGGCTTTGGCAAACGCCACTATGTTCTCAAGTCAGTTTCCTGTGTTGGAAGCTAGGAGCAAGCAGAAAGACTCAAATACAAGTTGAGATCGTTTATCACAGTAGCCACCTCAACCATTTTGGGTACTATGATCTAATTCACTGCCACTACAGGTATACAAACATATTAATTAGTATATATCACCATAAAGCGTCGGCAGTTGATTATTTACATTAAAGGTGACCTATCATGCAAAATGCACTTTTGTACGTCTTTTCTACATGAACATGTGTCCCCGGTGTTCCAGGGAACTCACCAAGTGTCAGAAAACACAACCCTCTCTATTTTCCTCCATACCCAAATCTCTTAAAAAGGGGCTGCAACGGATCTGATACAGACTGATCCAGATTTGAACACTTCTATGACGTCACAGAAGTGGTGCTACGGCTATTGGGCAAACTCCACCAATCAGGAGGAGACAGCAACGGACATTGCTGTTGGAAAGCGCTGGAGACGCTGTAGTACATATGCCAGGCCTGTAGATGGTGCTGTTCTCACAGAATCAGCCCATGCAAAGACAGTGTTAAATTGAGCGAAATGAGGAATGGCTAAAATGCATGATCTGTTTGGTATTTTGAAAAATTAAAAGTATAAATATGCCTAATATAGGTATGGTCCTACACTATACTATTCAAATATAGCATGATAGGTCCACTTTAAACAAAATCTCTTCCACCACCTGCTCTCAAAGACTGCATCAACCTTTCTTTGTGTGGGACTTTGTTTCTCTCCACTGTCGGACAGAGGAGACTCTATTCAGAGAGCTGGTGCAGTTTATACTGGACACACTCCATACATGTGAGTGGGTGAAACTGGACTCACCCGCCCATCGCTCTGCAGAGAGGAAACCTGCTGAGACAGCTCTGCCTGGACTCTCTGCATCAGAACAGCTGGGAAGCAAAAGGAGAAAGCGAGTGTGAGACGCAGCTCGATGATAGATGGTGTGCGCGGTGTGCCGGTTACTGAAGACAAACTAACTGCCATCAGCACACCATCCATCCCCTCAGACATGCTTCACTCAGCACTGAGCTTCTTCATTAAGTCTGTGTGTAACATCAGCTGGTAATAGTAAGTTTGTAAGTTTCATAATTCAACAACTTATCTTTTAAAAATGAAAACATCACACCATGACATAAACATGCTAAGCCCACATCTTTAACATTTATTGTTGCTTAGTCTGCTGATTATTTCCCCAACAAATCAATTACTCATTGGTCCCTAACATGACAGAAAACATTGAAAAATGCCACAATTAAAAATGCTCATAGGTAAAAGGCAATATATTTAAAGTCTTAATTTGTCCGACCAATAGTCCAATAAAGGTTTGTATTTATTGAGTTTCCGTTTTTGGATTTGCATTTTATTGTTATTTGAAGAAAAAAAAGTGCAATATATTTATTTACATTTTATAGGCTGAAACTAGTGCATTTTTGGCAATGTTAAAATAACTTAAACATTTGATCTTTTATCTTGATTTTTGCAGATAAGTATAAATGTTTCTGATCAACACTTTTTTCTAGCTTTAAAACTGATATTGACTCACAACTGTGAAATCCAGAAAGGGTCAAAACATTCAAATATGTAAAAACAATAAATAAGCTATGGAAGAAAATAGTACTTTATATTTTTTGTGTTTTTCAGCATTTAACTGAATTGGATCTGGTAAAATAATATCAGGTTATAATAATTATAACTATGATCACTATAATAATATACGCAAATATGTGAATCATAAAGCAGTTATTCGTACAGTTAGTAAGAAGCATAGAAGCAGACACTTACAGACTTGGCTCTGGAGCTCGTTGGCCACACTGGGCACTTTGAAGAGCAGACCGACGGACTGATTCATCCTTTCATCGATCACACGTAGGTGGGTCAAAAGCTAAAGGTCAGAAGAAAATGAGTTGTACTTTAATTCATGATTATTATTTTGTTTATCTACATTGACATATCATTTAAGTTTAGATTTGTACTAAGAATGTACCAATACCATCACTTTAAATCCTTGAAACACATTAAAAACAGCCTAAGAGTTGTGTGTGTACCTGAGGCCGGATTTGTGCAGCTTTCTTGGGATCGACTGTGCGGACATGCTCGTAATGTTTCAGCGTGTGCTGCCTGTCCTTCTGCTCGGCACGGACGTACTTCTTCAGCAGGGTCAACACCTGACGAGCCTGGGGAGGGCAGAGTCATATAAAAACATATACTGTCATTTGATGTTTTTATTCTATAAATTCCAGGTAAAACTGTGGAATAGTATTTAGGAAATGTACAGAGACAGCTACTCTCTTAATCCTTCATGAAATTAATATATACCACTCCGTGAAGACACTCGTGAATTTTGGACACATGTGGAGTATGCGTGCGTGCGCGTGCGTGCGTGCGTGCGTGCGTGCGTGCGTACCCGTGGAGGGTTGGCCTGCAGGGAGCTGAGGTAATTTTCCAGAGCCAGGCGTCTGTGGCTGTTGAGCAGAGCCTCCACCCGGGCCATGTGGGTCTCCACCAGCTGCTGCCTCTCTCCAGCTGCCTCCCGCTCCAGAGCCTCCACCTTCTCCTGGAAGTGCTGCAAAAGAAGAACATTTTACAATTTTAAATGTTCCCTGTGTATGCCCGATTATAATTACAACCAGTTATAGTTATATAAGAATCCTCCCCACAAGTGCCACATTTATTTTGCTCTTGCTTTTAAAATAAGTTCTTTCTTTGCCCATGAATTTTTATAAGAAAAAGACATTTGGGAGACAACCCTGCGCCAGTAAAAGCACCAAGCGTTTAGGTGGGAAATACCTTGGATATATTCAATGTTGTTTTATAAAGGCAGCCAGTGTTTCGAGGCCGACAGCACAATGTGTTCATTGTGGTGAAATCTTGTGAGCAGCTTAAAAAGCATAGCCTCAAACACAAGCACTAGTTGGGAAGCCAAATTAATATATTCAAAAACACGAAATGGGTGGGCTGTAGGCAGGGCTCTCGACTAACTTTTTTCACCATCCTCCCGGAACCGTCCCGAAATACAATCTAAGCCGTCCCGAAATGAATGTGGACCGTCCTGAATTTAAAATATTCGTTTTTCTACATTATCATTAGTTAAAATCATTCAAAGGGACCTTTAACATAAATAAAACATCATACAAATCATTAAATGATAATTCATCAACCTTTTTATTTGAGTAAATCAGTCAATCACATGAACAAAGGCCAAATATATTTAAACAAACACACAAACGAGAAAATTACTCTAATATTGAATCAAATCTAGTCCCATCCAATTAACAAAAAAATCCAACACTCTGTCCTGAAGACAGAACCCAGAGTAACCACTCAGTCAGGAGACCTTTACAAACTGCCCCGCCCCCTCGCACACAGACGGGAGAGAGAGATCTCGTCTGGATTGGAAAGCTCGAAAATACATCATAGACGCATGTTGTAGTCTTATTGCATATTAGAAACGGAGTTGGCTAAACTAAAACTGCGATATAATGTTTATGTAGCAATACTACATATGACATATATTTTTTAAATGTCTCCAGTAACGATAAAAAGTCAGATAACGTCGGAGCTTAACGTTACCACTGTCTTTAATAATTCCGACCCGGGCGGAGCCCGTTTAATACCGGGGCTCGGTACCCATCTATACATAGGGAGAGGCGCAGCATATTGCTAAGGACTAAATACGATGGAGGGTTCTCATCTCAGCCTTATTACCCATAGGGGATGAAGAGGAGTAAGTAAATAAAGAGGCCGGCGCTCCAGGGTCTGGTTCTGCGTTTTTGTGATGTAACGGTAAAACATTTCAGAATTCCTCCACGGGATACCATTGTCATTTTACATCACTCAACCCGCGAAATACACACACTCAGTACATACTGTAGCTAGACCCGCGAATTTGCGGGCCAGGAATTCGCGGGCACAGCCAGCTGTGCGGCTGGCTGACAGCACATGGGCACAGGCTTACGTATGTGTGTGTGTGTGTGTGTGTGTGTGTGTGTGTGTGTGTGTGTGTGTATTTCGCGGGTTGCTAAATGTTTTGTGCGTTTATGTTGACAAGGAGGTTTAATAACTGTGTGCTACACAAAAGGTGCAGTCGGTTTCATTTTCATCGCCGTTTGTAGTTTGAGTTAGCAGAGTATTTTTATTTTAACTCTCGTCCCAAAACTATTTTTTATCCTCCCCGACACTATTTTTTTCGGGCCCGGGACGACGGGACGTCATTAAGCTCGAGCCCTGGCTGTAGGGGATAACAAAGAGTCATCACCAAATAAAACAATCAGTCTAAACCCACTTGGTGCACCAGTCAATCCTAACAGTAAAAACAGAGCTACATCTCAAATGTAAACTAAAAGGTCTTGTGGTGTTATGTTAAATGTTTGTTTTTCTTGTATTGTGTCTTAATATTTGTCCTGTTGATGTTGCAAATGGAGCTATTTGATCTGACCATTAAAGTATTATCGCTCTTGTTAAAAGCTAGCTTTATGGTTGCTGCTCCTAGCAAGAAACCCTTTACATTCACAGCGCATTTCTAGCCCTGTGGATATCAGCTGAGAGGTAATAGGGGGGCCTGCTGCTAAATTCAGTGAATAGCATTCTCCCAGTGAGGGAAAGCAGTTTATTGAGTCATTACAGCTGACGGGAATAACAAATATTTACAGCCCAGTGACTTTATTTGCAAAAGGTTAAGAATCCTTAAAACAAATAAAACAAATACAGAAGGAGTTGAGATGCGTGTCCTACCTGGATGACAGCTTTCTTGTCAGCACGGGGAAGTTTCTTGGCCTGCCTCTCAGCCTCTTCCCACTCCCTCATCACCTGGACATCAAAAGTGTCACAGCAGGGACAGAAGCATTAAAGACCGACAAACTCGTGTGGACACATCGACAGGGCAATATCCCAGAGAGAATGTATAGGATGTTAACCCTGACACACAAACATACCTGGGACATCTTTTCACGGTGTTTGGCCTCCAGGCTTTCCTTGGCCTTCTGGAAGTCAGAGTGTTCGTTGTCGTCTCCGGGTGCTTCAAGGTAGTGGTCCACTGCGTCGGGAGGACTGGGGGCCATGGTGGGCACTGGACGACAATTAAGAGGCAGAAATGAAATACAGATCAAGGGAAAACACAAGACAAATGTGTATGAATTATACATGCAGAAAAACTCCAGTGCATCAAAACCACACAATGCAGGCTATTGAGGTGACGCACAGACAAACAGTCATCAATGCAACGTTTGTTGAAAACATACAGATGGGTTAAACACAGGCACAAACAATGATATCAAAACTGACGGGCTATAAGGGGACAAAGGGTGATTAGTTTCCCAGGAGAGTGTTGTCCTTATGTCTATTTCATGTGGGAGCCTGGAGATAAGAGGAAAAGTGCTGAGTCAGGATAAGGGCAGAAGCTGCACTCAAACAGCAAATGAACCCATTAACCCTTAACAGCACTCTCCCTCATTCGCCCATACATGACTCTCAACACTCTGCAACACTCAGCTAGTTGGGACATTTTTATGACACCAACAACTAACAGGTCAGCCCACTACGGAGCTGCAGCACAGACACAGAATGTGTAGCTGCAAGGCATGCATGTGTGTGTGTAGAAATGCATGCAGACACACACTGATATCCAGTGTTCAGAATGTATGCTGCCTGGTCCACATGCTGTAAGGAGTATCAGTTAGTGTCAAAACGGTGAAACGAGAAGTTAAAGAGAGCATCGTGGCTGCTTTACAAAAAGGGAAACGCAATGATCTTCATTTTCCTTTTAATAAAGAGTTCATACATTAACAATTACACTAATGGTGTGTAATGGCTTGTAACTTAAGCTTATTGAAGAAGATGGCTAGTAAAATTCTATCTATTCAACAAATCCCATGAAAACCGTCAGAGAAGTGATTTTGAATATAGTCTGTGTAGTTAAAGCTTGATGAAGTAAAATATAGAAAATTAAAAGCCTTATAGTTAAAAAACGAGAGCAATCACTTTGGTTGATCTTTACCACAGATGTAAATATTTTCTTTACTTTTACAAAAAACAAAAACAGTTATTCAAGGGATATGATTGACTTTATGGCATTTTCTTTTCCTGTCATAAGATGGGTTTTTATCTTCCTTAGAAAATGATTAATTTAAATTAGGCAAAATACTATATATACACTGGTCAGCGCTCCAAGTAGTTAAGAGCCATCAGACACTCAGGGAGAATCAGAGAAAGTGAATGAGACAGAGATAATCTGCAGCAGCCGGAGGACAGGAATCAGGCTGGCGGTTAGGACGCTTCAGAGTATAGAGGGTTCGGCCCGGGACTTACACGAGGTGCTGCAGACCGCTAGGCAGTACTCCTCTGAGTCAAAGTTATTCCTGTTGCCCCCACAGCCCCCAAACAAGAAGGGAGCACAGCTGCCCTTCTCAGGCAGGAAGTACCAACGCTCCAGCATGGCATGACACGGGCCGGACTCAGCACGAGCCCAACACACGGCTGAGGTATGTACGCACAGGCAAATAAAAAAATATAACATAAAAAAATGAATGAAAAATATGAGATTGTCGATCAACAGAACAACCAACGATGAAAGAAAGGCAGATAAATGAATACATTTGTATCTACATCTAGATTTCTCACCTCGGACGACTTCCTCAACGGATTCAGTGGTGGTGGTGGTGGTGGTTGTCATGGCGATGTTAGCACTGCGCTCATCACTATCCCTTTCGTCAATGACATCGTCCTCATCGTCGTCCTCATCATCATCATCATCATCTTCATCGCCATCTCCATTCTCATCCCTTTCAAATGTTTCCGTCTCTTCATCCTCGTCGTCCTCAGTTGTGGCTGGCTCTGTCTCTGCCGGGCGAGTCATGCTGCATGGAGAGGAGGATGTTCATGTGTTAACGAATCAGTGTGTACTTCAGAGGGGATGAATGTGTGATGAATGTGTGTGAGTGGTGATACCTGTTATCTGAGTATTCGGTCTCAGCTCCGCCCCACCAGACGTCTGACTCCTCCCCTTCCAGCTCAGCGCTGTCGGTCTCTCGCTCCGCCTCCGCCGGACAGCAGACAAACTCCACCCCTCGGAAACGGTCAATACCACATGGCAAAAGCATCCCGTAGTCATGGAGATTCATTGAGCGGTCTCCACAGGACTAAATATAATAATGAGCATTAATGACAACTTCTTATACAATTATAAACACAAAAAAAACATACGACATTTAAACATTTCACAAGGAGATGAAAGTTTATAGTAAAAGCAATGATGCCACACACGAGTTAACACGAAAGAGCGACGATAAAATAACAATAATCTGAACAAATCACTCGCAGATTCAAACATGCCATCAGTGGATTCATTTGCTTGGTCCCTGTGACAACCGTTTTTTTTTTCAAAGGAACATATTGATATTGAGGACCTTTTTCTCCTCACCTCTTTGGCAACAGTGTGCCAGTGCAGGTGGCTCTCACACTGATCCATACGCTCCTGGTGCAGGAACTTACACTTGTCAGGAACGAGCAGGGCATCGCTCACAAACTCTCCAACTGAAAAAGGAAAAAGGCCTATGTTAATATCATGTAAATAAACATGCTCAGTAACATTCGAATGATGAACTGGTAAACTGGTTACCCAGGCAGCGGTAGGGAACCACGATGTGGGTGTGACTGCGGCATTGCTTGCGGCCTTTCTTGCACCAGTCCTCGATGCTGATAGGCTGGTTGGCCTCTACAACATTTGTAATCTGCAACTCTGGGTACACCTGGAGAAAAAGTGAGATATGTTCATGTCCTTTGTTACTGCATTAGCTGCATCTTCCTGTCTACTTGATTTATTTGTCCCTATGTGTTTCCCTGTCACCATCACTTTGTATAGATACCTCTTGGCAGTACTGCAGGATGCCCTCCTTGGTGCCGATGCAGCTCTTGGTGCCTGAAGGGTCAGACTCCCATTTTCCACTCTGCACATTAATGTGCATGTTGAGCTTCCCGCAGAACATGGCCACCTGGGGCTCAGTTTGCATATCCACAGAGTCATCAGCAGGCACCTGGACAGACAAGGAGAAAGAGAGGACAACAATGATGATGGATGGTACCGAACTGGCTGAAGTATAACTTAAACATAAATATCTCCTGATGCAGCTAATGTACATTTAGCCACTCTCAGTTTATTCCTTTTTCTTTCACCTGCAGTCCTGCACAACATACGTCTCTTTCTGCAGGACATAGATTAGTGAATCATAAGGTTAAAGGTCTCTTCAAAATGCATCTATAACATCCTTGCACATTTAAGTTACTACATACAAGGTAAAGGATTGTATTACTGGTTTAAGCCTGAGCAAGACAAGATTCTCTGATTTATCCCTTTAAGCCTATAAGCCAGACAGCTAAGCATTACAGCCACAGGCCAGCACATATGCCCTTTTGCTCATCTCCTACATTAAAGGAAGCGCAATGATTATGTGGAGAAGATCATATTGCGTCTCATTGCAAAGAGTAGAAACCTTTTGAACCACAGACTATTAAAATCCAGCTGTGAGCTAATGGGAGATAACATATAACCTTCTCTTCAGCCCAACAGTCTCAATGTGCTTTGCTTTCTGGATCTTATATTTTTCTAGCAGACACTAGAAAAGACTGATGATGCAAGCTTGACAATACGCCACCAAGCCATCTGTTGACAATACAACGATTGTTTGTAAATTTCTGCATTATATTATCTGCCTCTGATTCAGGATGGGTTAACTTTGTTCCTTCATGCTGAAACTACTCTATTCTCACCTTATTAGGCCATTGTTATTTTTTATAGTTGATTTCTTTTGCGATGGGTAAAATAGGAAAACAACTCAGGATGTTAATCCTAAACTGCCAACTGAGTATACCATGCATTGACAACCTCATGTATCATTGGCTAATCTTTCAAATCATGTTAATGGACACGCGTATAAGCCAGAAGGCACAGTTATATGAACAAACATGCTATTACTTAATTTCTCCTTTACTTGGTGGTCTTGGATTACACTGAGACAACCAGTTGAAACTAGTTTTCATTTACATGAAAGAAAAAAGTTTTCACAAACTCCTGTTTGACCATAGGGTAATGTGGCAGCAGGCCACGGCAAAGGTTATCCCATCTTAGGGCCTGTGCTGCTCTTTTAATCATTGTCTCAGCCTGCAGCCTAAAACACATGCAGGGAAATGAAATACATTTCAACACAATGATTGGATTTACCTAGATTGCATTGGCTATAAAGCCAATCTGACCAGACAGATCATATGATCCTATGAAACATTGCAATCTTAAAATAGCACTCTAAAATACAACTAATATATGTAAATTAATTCACAGGGTGCTCTCAATATGGCATATGTATAGCACCTCAGCATAGTCATACTAGAATGGCAACATGGTTATAATGGAAGGTTCTCGACAATAGTAGTGTCCTGCTTTATTCTGCTGTAGGGGCATTTTATTATGTAGCACGTAGGGATTTGGTTTGGGTTATATCAAGCCTGCAGTTAATAGAAACACTCTACTAAGTTACATGCACCCTTAAGTGTAGCATGGTACTGAGAGTACAGCTGTATGCATATTGATTTGAATTATGCAATATAGGCTCTATTCATTCTATCTCCAGTAGATCCTTCAAAAGCTGTGTATTTCTCTCTGGTCCTGCAAAGCATCAGCAACAGCAGCAAGCTGCAGGCGCCATCTTGCTTAGTGTCAAACTAAAAAGGCTGCATCTTTTCCATTCTCCTCAGCAATATCACACCCTGCAGCTGCAACACTGTGAACTGGACCGTTGGCCATGACCACGCAGCAGCAGCAGCAGCAGCAAGAATAACACAGTACATTAAAATAAATAAAAACAACAACGTCTGTATCAGGAGATATAACAAATGAACCCTCAACGTGTTGTATGTGTCGGTCGTATCTGGTGTATTTACGGGTTTAAAACACAAATCCCAAACTGACTGCATACGTAGGACGTTTTTTAGCCACTAGCGGTTGCCATGCCAATCCGTGTACATTTCTGAAAAGAGCTAACGTTAGCTTTAAACCCCTTTAGCTGCATTAGCTAGGTTACTGACAAATAACTTCCTTCTACAGCAAGCATTATTGTTACATTATACATAACTGCGTAAAAGAAACTCCCTCCACTGGATTAACCTAAACATGTCCAACACTGCAGGGCCAAACTGTCAATCACTGACATCTAATGGTAGGCCTTGGTAGCATTGCTGACATTTTCTGGTTAGCTAATTCCTCGCAGTAAATCTCTTGTGTAACACTATAAACCTGAAATATTGATGAACGCACACAACAAGATGTTCAAAACTGGACCAAATAACAAATCCTTGGATAACATCAAGAGTGGGCCTCGTCAAATTCCCGTAATATTGTTATCTTTATTAGCAGCTCCGTTAACTGTTAAGATTACACGGCCTTCATGCCAGCAGCTATTGACCGTAACATTTAAAATATAACCGTTAAACACGTCTGTATTCCGGTTAGACGGTGGTCAGTGTGGCTACAGGCCCGCAGATGAGCCGCGGAGCCACGGATCCACTCACCCACTCCCACCGTCTGTGATTTCTCCACGGAAGGCTACTAACCTCGGATGAAAGCGTCAAGGTCGCCACCAGTAACAGCAAAAACGCCGTGAACTCCCCCATGTCGTCCTCCTGGTATCCAGCACCACCGGTACGTTCTCGGTTTTCCCGTTAGAAATAGTCGAAGCAGACGGTGATATGTGTCGACACCAGCTGAACTATTCCCGGTGATCCCTCCCTGTTTAGCTCCCTACTGTGACGGCGCGAGGCTGGATGTGTTTGGTTTGGGTGGGGGTGGCGGGGGCTGGG